GGCGCGGAGCCCCCTGCCCCGGGACACCCCCACCTGCACCCCTGTCCCAACACCCCCATCTTTGCCCAGGATCCTCCACCCCAGGACTCCCTGCCTCTGCCGGGAACCCATGCCTCAGGACACCCCCAACATGGGCAGGACCCACACTCCAGGACCCCCCTACCAGCCCAGGACCCCGCTGCAGCACCCACCCTGGGATGCCCCACTCCCCCAGCTGTAGCCCTGCCAGCCCCCATGCTGCCCCCTGCATGTCCCTGAGCCTCTGGGGTCCTCCCTAGGACCCCTCTGCCAAGTCCTGGCCCAGTTGGGCCCTGGCAGCTACAAGCACGCCAAGGTGCAGCAACATGGGAGGTCCTCCCAGGGGAGAGGTGTCAGGCAGCCCCAGGGACAGTGGGGTCCCGCCATGGGGCAGGAGGGGATGCCAGTGTGGGTGCTGGCCCTGCCCACAGCCAGGCCTGTGGCTTTTAACAGCCATCTGCCAGAACGCTGCCTGCACCCACTACTGCCCCAGCTCCAGGGGCTGACCCCGAGCTCCAGCCCCAGGGAAGGGTGCATGGGCCTGGGCCAGGGCACCCACTAGCCCGTGGCCCTGTGCTTTGTGGGGCAGCATGTGCGAGGAAGGGTATTGCCAAGGCAGGGAGCATTTTGGTATCTTGCAAGCTGAGCTGCGGCAGGGGCACCCCTTCGGGTCTGGCAGGCAGCTGGTGTGTGTGTGCAGGGCTGGCCTCAAGATTCGGGTAGGATGTTATGGGGGATATGTGGCTCCTGTCTTCTGCATGCTCCTGCACCTGGGTTCTTTTCCCATGGCTTTCAAGGACCCACCTTCAAGGTGATGGGATTTATGGACTCGCTGAAGGAGCCAGACCTCACATCGCTGAGCCTGCTGCTCAGCTCCACGTCCCCTCCTGTCTGTCCCACCTGTGGTCCCGGCCTGGGGAGGCCAGCTCAGTTCCACACCTCGGTCACCAGCACAGTGGTGGGAACACAAGGCTGGCTGGGCTGCTCCCCGCATCGATGGCCGTGGGGGTCCCTGCTCTGCCCGGCACGCGCGGTGGCCCCCAGCACCAGCCCTGCCTGCCTTTCCCTCACAAGCAGCAGTGTGAGCGCAGGCAGCTGCCGGCATGGCTATGCACACCAGCTGTCTCGCCTGAGCGCGTGCTGCCTGCCAGATTACTCAGTCCAGCCTGGGCACACACTGGCTGGCTGGGAGAGATGGGACAAGGCAAGGAGTGTTTGAGGTCGGACAGTTTTCCTTGGTTAAGGCAGACCGGGAAGTCTTGGGTAACTTTTAAAAGGCACTCAGTGTTCATCAGCCAGGCCAGCTCGCAAGGAGATGCCCATGCTAACAGCAGGGACACTGTGTCCATCGCTTGCCTGGCCCCGCACAAGCCAAAAGCATAAAACCCCCCCAAACCTCACTTTCCCCCATTTTACCAGGCTGGAACATTACCAGGTCTATCGGGCTTATCAGCAGCAGAGCTGGGAACAAAACCGCCTGAGACCTTGGAGGCCGCGTCTCCCCCGACGGCAGCTCCCGCACAGAAGCAATCCTGGTCTCTGCAGCTGCTCAGCACTTTTCCTTCCAACACTGAACAGCTGCTTTGGGAAACCACAAACACCATGAGCTCATAGGGACTGGCCTGACCGGCAGGGACGGGAGACCTACGTGTGACAGCTCAGCTGTGGTATGATAGTTACATATTTTCAAGCTGCTTTTGGAAAACAGCCTCTCCAAAAAAAACCCCAGCAGGGCAGAGGGCAAAGGGAACGGCGTCCAAGTGAAGGACCCTGCCCACCAGCCTGGTGGCTCCTGCGGACATGCGGGGTGGGAGCTGTGCACAGGCAACGGTTGCGCCGGCCCCGGCACGCAGCCTGGCTGGGCACTCAGCCGGTGACGGCGCATTGTGCAGCGCTGCCAACTGCGCCCACACCTCTATTAGCAGCAAGAGCAACGTGCAATTTATACCATTTATGCAACTTCCATTTATCCAAATTAAAAGCATCCCCCAGGAGTCTGGCAGGTCACCAAGCCCTCAGCTGAGCAATGCCTGGGCTCCGACTCATATTTTTAATTTCATCTTCCCCTGCTTCATGATGAAATACTTAAGAGCAATTGTTTAAGCAGTCAAGAATTCTAGTCCTGCATCCAGGAGCCCCGGCAGCCGTCAGGAGAATGGAAGGTAGAAGCCTCATAGTGCTTCCTACACCAGTTATTATCCCATTTTCTGACCCAAGCATGGAAAGGCAGCGGGCTGTTTTCTGGTTCACGCTGTGAGTCACCCCTCAAGCCTAACCCTACCTGTCCACAGCTCAGCGCTGTAAACAGCAGACCATAAAAGCGATCTGTATCACAGATAGCATCAGCAAGCAATCCTGCCCCCACTGCCTCCACCACTCCCTGTGCCTGCCGGCTCAACGCCTGCGCCTCTGTCTGCAAACCCAGCATGGCTTGGGCTACACAGATAGCCTGTGACAGTGCCATCACAGAGCCACCGGCTGACCCAGAGCTGTGGTAAGCCGGGAGGGACTGCCCGGGTGCTGGGGACATCCCACCCGGGTGTTCCCATGTGCAGTGGCCAGATCCTGGGCCAGCAGAGCAGGCAGCTGCTGGCCAGCCCTCGCTCCGAGCCCTCCCAGGAGCAGAACAGCCCCTGGGCTGGGTGGGATGAAGTGACCTCCAATACGATGCGAAACTGCCATGGAAGTGCCCATCAGGATATAACCCAAGGTGCCAAACAGAGGGGGACTGTGCTGGCATCTCCAGGACCACTTAGGAAAGTGAGGGCGTTTAGATGGGGTGGCAGGTTATTTATGTTACGGCAGCACCTAGAAGCTCATGTGTTTTGCAGACCTCACTGTCGGGAGCTGGAATAGGAGAGAAAGGCAGAGGGAAGGAGAAAACACTGTTTTCCCTTCACAAGGGTGGCACGGTGCTGCCCGAGTCCCTGCCCCGTGCCTTGCTGCAGGCACCAGCACTCAGGAGTCTCCCCTCACCCAGGGATGCCCCAGGCACCGGCCTGAGTCCTGCCACCACGTGCAGATGTCAGTTCTCCTGTTCCCACAAATGTCTGCCCTGTCCCGGAGACCATCCCAGCTTCATTATTTTCTTAATCCCAGCCTTCATTGTTTTTTTAATCCCAGTGTTCACACAATGCACTTTGAACACAAGGCCATGGCAGTGGTGTCTGCCCGCAGTGGTATACGGGGGATTTGCTGTGCAGTTTTTCCAGCCCCTTGCACGCCCGCAGACGCGTGAGGGCATTTGTGTGTGAGAGCGCGGGCTGTACGTGGGGTGGGAGCAGGCTCCGTCACTGGCTCTCACTCTGAAAATAGCCATGTCTGCTTTACACACGCCTGCCTGGCGGCTCGGCTCCTGTAAAAGGAGAAGAGAAAAGCCATTTGGAAATGGCAGGGAGCTCCTTGCCAAAGCCCTTAAAGAGCCCAGGTGGGGAGAGCTGCCTGCACGCTCCCACAAGCTCTCCTCTCCTCTCCCCGGGGCACTGCTGCTGCACTAGGACCTGGAGCAGACATCGCTCCCGGAGCGCTCGCTGGGACATGCCAAGCACAAGCTGCCAGCTTCCCAAATATAGCCCTGCACACAGAGGTGGAGGCAGCTGCTCAGGGTGCAGGGACAGCCGTGCTCCCCCCCCCGCCGCCCTTTCGAATCTGAAACCTCCCCACTTTGTGCTGAGGATTAAATATTCAGCTGGTGCCGCACGGAGCGACGGTGAGGATGTGTTGATCCCCAAAAGACCCCGTGTGCTGGATGAAGTGGAAATCACAGTGTTCCCCAGCTCGACATGCAGTGAGCAGGGGACACAGGGAGCCACGCTGCCCCGACCAGCAGGGCTGACAGCTGGGTGGGTCCCAGGAATCTGTGAGCCGGGAACTTTTTACTTAGTTTGGAAATAGCTTTGCAAATGGCTGGTTTTCACAGCCTAAACTGTTTGGATTTTGCATTGCTTTCTCAATAACTCAGCTGTATTTTTTTCCTGCCCCAGCAGCCTGTGGAATAGTTTCTGGTTGGGGAAATATTTTTTCCATTTGCTTCATCATGCGACTGCTTTTGCCGCTCCATTTCCTCGTCCAGCTTCACGCCCTTATCCTGCTGGGACAAAAACTTGGGTCTGCCCTGAGGACCTCATCCCTCTAAATCCCACTGCAGGCTGGAGGCTGTGCTAAGCCCACCACCGGGCTCAGTGCTGCCAGAGCCGGGGTGCTCCTCTGGCCTGGGCCATGCCACTGCTGCCTCACGGTTTTAATTCTTTAACAAGAAAACGGAGTTACCTTCTTCGGGTGTATTTATAGGTCTTTGCGATAATTATGTATTTTGAAGTCATGCCTCTTTGGCTACAGTCGCAGCTCAGGCAGCAGGTGATGCTGTAACACTAAACCAGGCAGGGAGGGTTAAAATTACTTTTAATTAACTGATTCCCCCGGTCCCACCTGCTGTAAGAGTATACAGCCCTGGCAGCATGCTAACCCAGCCAGGCTGCGACTGCGCATGCCCAGGCATCCTGGCAGGCAGGAGGGATGGTTTACATTCTCCTTTCCCCCATGCTTTGCTGCGGGAAAGCAGCAGGAGCACTGTAATGCTCTCAGCAAAACCACTGTAGGAGCTCGGGGAGGGCTTGTAGCCATCGCAGGGGCATCACCAAGCTGCATGTGTGGCGCAGGAGCGAGCTGGCAGTTTCCCCATGCAGCAGGGAGCAGAGCAAACCCCAGCACAGGACCTTCCGCTGAAATCCAAGACTCTCCCATGAATTTGTGTGTGCTCTGCCTGGGAAGCACCTGGCCAGAAATTGGGTAAAAAGCAACCAGCTCCCTGCACGCTTCCTCCCCTTCTTCTGCCTCCACCACAGGGTGATGGTACCGGCATTGGGGGAGCAAAGACCGCTCCAGAAAAACAACCTCCCTTGCCCAAAACAGCTTGCAAAATGGTTGCTGGCCTGGTGGTGGGGAGTGCGGACGGTTTGCACCGCAGGCTCTGCACCGGCACAAAGTGCACAAAGTGCCGGCACGGAGGCTGGGGGGGAGACCGTCCGCGGTCCCCGTCAGTTGACAGCCGCTCCCTGCCACTGCACCAGCTGGCCAGCAAACATTCCCGGTGTCCCAATTCATCACCAACAGAGCTCCACGGCACAGGCTGTAATTATCTTGCATTTCCAGCCTGACCGCAGGGTGTTTGCCTGTAATTAGCTTTTGGGATTTAGGAGCTCATGTGATCCAGGGTTATCGTTAGCCACCAGAGCCGTGCTGGGATTTAAAGGGACGATGCGGCTATTTGCATATCTACCATGCTGCTGCCATCATCCGATGCATTAAACAGAAAGATGAGTCCCTCCCCAAAGCCTGTGCATGTCCTCGCCCTGCCACGGATGCTTTTTTGGGCAGGGATGATGAGGTCCCAAGCAAAGCAAGACAGCTTGCTTGTAAATATTTCCGCTGGGACTTTTTGGCCCTTGCCATCACCTTGGTTTTGGTGCCACCCTGGCTCAAGGCTCTCGGTAAATGCTATAGGCAGCCCCTATAGCTCTGCGCTGCCCACTGCTTTCCCTTACAAGCTGTTATTCCCCATGTGCAAGCTCCCCCAGCCCTGCCACTGCCGTCCCCTCCACTCTGCTCCTCACCCTGGGGGTCCCGGGCAGGGGGTCCCAGCGTGCCCGATGTCAGCTCGGGCACGTACTCACGGGGTCTAGGGAAGCCAAGGCAGGGCAGCCCACCAGCCCACGTCCATCTGCACTTCTCCGCGGTCCCTGTGGTTTCGCCTCCTTCCCTCGCATGCGACACTCCAGTGGGCAGAAATAGCCCCAAAACACGTGCCGCCTTCCGGGAAGCAATGCCAGAGGCCGAGCAGCCCCGGCGCCCTGGGCACAGCCCTCCCTCGGGGGCTCCCACTAGCACCGGTGGCACTAGAGGGTCCAGCCTGGCACAGTGCTGGGGCACAGTCCGGTAACAGCTCCAGCGAGGAACGTCTCCGGTTATCCGCCAAGATAATAAATTCTGCCTTAGAGTTTCTCACCTGGCAACAGTCACCAAGGAAACATGGACGGCTGCTGCGGGTCCCCGCCAGCACTGCCCAGGGGGGTCCCCACGGCGCTGGCAGAGGGGCTCCGGCGGCACCCCGACCGGCCGGCTGAGCGGGCGAAGGGCCAGCTGCCCATGCTGTAACCTGAGCCCAGGCCCAGCAAAATGCCCATCAATCTGGGCTTGGCCCTCGCACCACCTCTCAGAGTCGAGTGTGGGTTTCACCAGATTTGGGGTGGGTTTTGAGGTTTTCCTGGCTGTTGAGCCCTGTCTGTGTGCATCGGGAAGGGTGACCTGGAGCTGCCTCAGGATCCCGGGGGGTTTCCTAGTCCCTGGTGCCAGTTTGGCCGGGGATTTTGGTCACTTGTGTTAAAAGTGGCAGAGGACCCCAAGTGCTCAGAGACCTCTGGAAATCCATCAGTGCCGGAGGGAGACTGGCTCTCTGCTGCGGGTCCCCGCCAGCACTGCCCAGGGGGGTCCCCACGGCGCTGGCAGAGGGGCTCCGGCGGCACCCCGACCGGCCGGCTGAGCGGGCGAAGGGCCAGCTGCCCATGCTGTAACCTGAGCCCAGGCCCAGCAAAATGCCCATCAATCTGGGCTTGGCCCTCGCACCACCTCTCCGGAGTCGAGTGTGGGTTTCACCAGATTTGGGGTGGGTTTTGAGGTTTTCCTGGCTGTTGAGCCCTGTCTGTGTGCATCGGGAAGGGTGACCTGGAGCTGCCTCAGGATCCCGGGGGGTTTCCTAGTCCCTGGTGCCAGTTTGGCCGGGGATTTTGGTCACTTGTGTTAAAAGTGGCAGAGGACCCCAAGTGCTCAGAGACCTCTGGAAATCCATCAGTGCCGGAGGGAGACTGGCTCTCGCTGCCCCTCGGAGAGGCCGTGCCACTGCCTCCGGGGCTGCCTGCCACATGGCACTTCCCTATTTATAGCACCTGTGGTTATGCCTTTTCCTGTCCCCTGCGCAGCTGTCCCCTGGCAGTGCTACCCCGAAGCACAGAGACAAGCGCTGACACTTCCAGCAAGTCATTTCAGCCCTGGTACGGCTAATTCTGCAAAAGGCTTCCCAGCCCTGTGCTGCCTGGAAACCTGGCACTGGTGCTGGTCCCAGCAGGCTACCAGCATGGGCACGAGAGCAACCGGGAAAGGCCATCAGGCTTGGGACAGGGCTCTGTCCCTGGGCCAGGCTAAGGCCGCTGGGGTGCAGCCACTGCCCTGCCATCAGAGGTGTGGGGGTGAACAGTCGCCCCAGATATTGTTGCATGTGGCCGTGATATCGGTACGGAAACTTCCTCCATCAATCATTAACCAGATGTGGGTCCCTGCCTGCGGTGCAGCTCCGGCGCAGCTCCCTTGCCTAGGGGCGGGCGCCGAGCTTCCCGGCAGCGTGTGGGGTTGGAGCGAGGGGCTGCGCCCAGCCTGGGATTGCACCCCCAGGGCCATCCCGGAGATGTGGGATGCCTGGCAGCACCTCAGCATCCTTGGCTCATGGCTGGGGCTCAGCTGGTTGATGTAGTGCTGCTGGCTCTGGGCAGTTTAGCGTGGACTGATGTGAGCCAGCAGGATCTCTGTTTGCTCCCCAGTGTGGCTTTTGGTGGGTCTCATGTCCTTGTCCCTCTGGACTCCACTCCCCCCACCCAAAGCTCCTGTGGCTCAGACATCCCCGTGCGGCCTCTTCTCCGCACACAACAGCGGCAGCATGCCAGCAGCCCTGCCCCGGCTGGGGGAAGAAGCAGGAAACCTGAGGAGCAAGATAAGAGCTTCAGGGTTCAGATCAAGGAGTTGGGGCTTTTTTGGCTGCGCTCCCTGCCCTGCTGTCCAAGGGTCCCCACCGCCTCCCTGCTCCCAGCCAGGCGCCTGCTTGGGCTGGCTGGTATTTCTATTCCGAGCGGCACAGGACCTGCTGCTGCTCAGGGGGTGCCTCGTTAGGGCACAAAATACCAGCAGTGAGTGGTGATGTCCCCCAGCCCGGCGCAGAGGGGACCCCTGGGCAGGCAGCAGAGCCGTGCACACTGTGCAGGAGCTGCTCCTTGCAGGGGCTGCAGAGAAACATCTGCGCAGGGATTAGGCAGCAAGGAGCCAGTGATGCCATTTGTTAGAGGAGACACTAATTCAGCTGGAAGCCCCACATGAGCTGTCAGGTGATGTCCCCACCACAAGCCATTCAAGCCAGTGATGGAGGCACAAGGCTGCCCAGCGCCGCATGGGCGTAGCCAGGTGGGTAATGCAGTGCCGTGCCGTGCTGTGCTGTGCCACCCGGCACGGTGGGCAGCCCCTTGGCACTCCATGTCCCAGCGGCCACCGGCCTGGGCCGACCCACCAGGATTAAGTAGGCTGCAAGGAGTAAGTAATTTAAATCCAGATTAGATTTAAGCAGCTGCTGCGCAAACGGGATGTGAGCAGGGGCCGCGCGGCAGGGACGAGCGGGTGAGAGCCTGACTGGCGCTCCTGCGATGCAAGAAGGGGCTGCCAGGGCAGGGTCCACCCGGGAGGTCCATGCCCTGAGGTATTGCCCAGTGGCTGGCTTTTGACCCCCGGCTTGGCTTGCGTGCACCAGGCTGGAGGCAGTAGTGCTGGGCCGTGGGACGGGGCACCCTGGGGTGAGATGCTCCCAGCCATGGGGAGCAGGCACGGGCAGGAGGACGAAGCCCAGAGACACGCTGGGCTGCTCACTTTGTAGGTGCTGAAGAGAGGCCATCCCTCCACGCGGGGCTACTGAGCATGTTCCACCTCTTCTCCCGCTGCTGGTCGTGGCTGCAGGCCATACAGGAGCCCATCAGGTAGGTCCCCATGCCCGCTCCTTGGGGGTCTCCGGGGGGCACATTTACCCATGCTTTTATTGGGGAGGGCACCGGTGCAGTAACACTGCAAGAGCGGTGCCCATTGCAGGAACCGTCCCCAAACCACACAGCAAGGCACACGCGTGTCCTCGCTGCCCCTCCAGCAGGCAGGAGCTGGGCAGGGAGGGGAGCAGGGCAGGCAGGGGTGCGCATGCGGGAAACACTCCCAGCGAGATTCCCTCTGTGCAAAGTCAGCAGCTCCCCAAGAAAGCTGGGGAGGTCGAACTGAAACACCTGCCGTGTTTGCACGTGTCAGGAGACCCAGGTTAATTCCCTGGGGATGGCACTGCACCAGCCCGGGCAGTCTTCTCCTGCCAATGAGTAAACGTTGCCATAATGCCGGAGGTGGAGCTGTGCCACCCATGCAGCCTGGTCTGTATGTTTAAGAAGAAAACGACACTGTGAATGAATACTGTGGCTTGTCAACCACAGGGAAAATGTTCTGCTTGTGGCTCTGGTGGAGCACGTCGCTGGAGACCAAATAGGACTGTTTAGCAATAGGAAAAACCTCCTGAGTCCAGGCAGAAGCTCATAAAATGTCCTTGCTACCTCTCCCTAGCCATGTATACCCATAACTCACTGACTCAGAAGGACACCAAGAGCAATCATTAACTGTTCACATATAAGGAACAATCATTTTGGCCTGTGCATATCATTGCTTAATCCTATATGATCTGAAAAGAAATCATTGCCATAGAAAGTGCATTGAAGGCTCCACAGTGCGGCTGCCCCACATTGCCAGGGCGGCTCCAGGCACCTGTGCCTGCCCTCACCCTCTCCCTGGCACCGGCGACCGTCCCTGCCCTCACCCCCAGCTCAGCCAGAGCCTGTGTCACTGTCCTGCCCCTCTCCCGCCATGCACAGGGTCCCTTGCCTGGGAGCCCCAGGGCCAGCAGTGGTCACTGCTCCCCAGGGAGCACAGCCGTTCTCTGGGATGCTCACCCTCTGTTGTCGCTCCCCAGAAAGGTGACCCTCCTCGTTGTGGGGCTAGACAACGCGGGGAAAACCTCCATCATCATGGACATAGAGAGAGGTGAGGAGCAGCACGGCCCCGGAGCTGGCTTTGGCTAGAGACAGCAGCTTTACAGTCCTTTGCAACCAAGTGCCTGAGCCTTGAAGGACCAAGACCCTTGAAATACAGCTGCTGGGCTGGGGGAAGCGCACAGGGCTTGTGCTGTGCCCTGGGCAGCCCTGGGAGCGGGAGCAGGGATGTGGCTGGGGGAGGAGGAGGCACATGCCACAGGGATGCTCCTGGGCTCACTGTGCCAGCTCTCTGTCCTCTCCCCACATGCAGCGCTGGCCGGTGAGGTGCTGCCCGTGGCGCAGCCTGGCCAGACCCGCCTGCGGGTGGACAGGTTCGAGGTGACGCTGGTGGACCTGCCTGGGGGCCAGCGCTCCCGCAGCGCCTGGCGCAGCCGCTACAGTGAGGCCCATGGGCTCCTCTTCGTCCTGGACTCCAGTGACCTGGCGCGGATGGAGGAGGCCCGCAAGGTCCTGAGCCGTGTCCTGAGCCATCCCGATGTCTCCGGGAAGCCTATCTTACTGTAAGGCCGAGTCCCTGGGATGTGACCTGTAGGGTTTGGGGTGGGGAGGGAGTGGGAACCTGTTGCTGGGGTTGTGGGGAGTGTGGCCGGGCTGCTGCGGGGATGTGGTGCCCAGGGGGCTGTCGGGGGGATGCTGGGACGTGGGGACCCCAGCGGTGCTCAGGACCTGGGAGCATCCCTGGAGAGGGGCTGGGGAGGGGGCTCCAGCGCCGGGTACGGGCCGGGCAACGCTTCACCTAATCGCAGCCAAACCGGGAGAAAGCATCCAGCCTCCCCCGCCGCCGTGCGGCGAGGCGCCCGGAGGCC